GACAAATATCCCACTCTATCACACTGATAAATTTGAAAACTAAAATCATTACGAAAACGAGATGCAAGATTTAACTTGATTGGCTTAAATAAAAATTGCGTACATGAACCGAAGATGTGAACTTGGAAAATATAAAATGCATACGTTCGATCAATTTACAAACTAAAATTTGGCAATTATTATTATTTTGTACATATAATATCTTTTTTTAATATATATGAACCCACCCAATCAAGTCAATCACCATCCTCATATTCGTCGATGCTCACCAAAACTTTCTAATTGATCGATGATCACCATCTAAGCTTTGCGGGAAAATACTGTAAAAAAGTACATATCCAGTCATCACTGTCGGAAAAACCCGACTCTATACACCAAATTTATGATTAAAGCCCCGTTTGATAACTATGTCGTTTATCGTTTTCTACCTTCTTAAAAATTAAGTCGAGAAACATTATTTGAATTTATTGTGTTACTTTTTTTATATACATAATTTTCAAAATCATTTAAAAAAAGTAGTTTTAAAAAATTTGATTTGTTTTGTTTTCGAAATTTAGTTTCAAATCAAATTTAACCAATAAGAATAATTTTTAGGAACATGATACTAAAAACCAAATAGTAATAAAAAAATGATACTTCTGTGAGGAATAACCATTTTTCTCGTTTTCTATAGTAAATTATAGGATATCTATCCGTACTCTCTTCCTCACTAGTAAATTTGAAAATTTGTCCAACAAGTGAAAATCAAAATTATATAGAGAAAAAATGACAATACAGTTTGAACACTTGGACCTTCTTCTCTAATATTATTTTAAACGCACCAATTAACTCAAAAACTCGTTTTAAACTTGATATATCACCAAAATGAACCAAAACGCTTAAACCGATAAATTTGGGTCAATTTAGTCATTTATGGGAATCAAATGCTAATCTTAATTCTTAACCAGTAAAATGTCTGTCTTGTAAGATGTCCATGGACTTCCGATTCAATGTGTCTAAATAAAAGAGTAATAAAATTGAATAAGATCAAAGTTAAATATGCGTGTCGAGTTCTTACCTTTTCAATAAGAGATTGATAGTAAGGCTTCACTTTTTCAACGTCGACTAGAACTTTGCTCTTGCTATAGAGGTCGTATTTGCTGAACATGATCATTCCAAAAGAAATATTAACATCACTTAATAATTTTTCATTGAAACGATTAAAAAAATTAAAAAAAAAAACCCAATTGAAGAAATGGGATTGATTAAATTACTTGAAAATCTTGAGCCACTTCAAATTCTCAACATCCTCTTCGTTCATCAAGTGTTCATATGCTCCTCCTCTGTGTAATGCTACAATAAAATAAAATTATCAATAATCATATTATTTATTTTACCTCACATATTATACCAAGAAATGGAAACTTACGATAAAATGAATGATATCTAATGATAAACAATCCAGCAGGAGGTAGGGTAGTTCCATTCTCTTTAGCCACCTACAGATTATTTTGAATGCAAATTCATATAGTAACAGAAATTGAATTGATATATCTTAAGATCATAAGAAAAAAAAACAATATACTAAAAAAGGTTGATTTTAATACCAAGTACATATAATCGTCATGCCCCCAAGAAATCATTACGTTGTCTAGGCCACACCCTTGAGAATAGATTCCATATTTGGTGTTATAAGATGGATTATCATAGTCCACATTCTCCTTGAAGTACTGCAAAATATAAGGAAAAAAACCATCAGAAATCTCTTTCCATAAACTACTTGATAACAATTTTATTTTAAAATTTTGGTTCTTAGATTATTGATGATTTAGGGGCTCTTTATTTTGTTTTAGTTTTCTGCTTTTAAAAATTATGCTTTTTTTCCCACAATTTATTTAGAATTTTTTCACATTTCTTTTCTAATTACACGTTTAACTTTTAGCTAAATTGTAAAAATAAAAATAAGTTTTTGAAAACGTCTTAAAAAGTTGGTAACTAGAATACATAAAACGGACTTAATTTCATTGGTTTAGTTTTTCAATTCATAGAAATACTTTGGGTTGTATTTATATTGAAGGGCAGAGCAGCAGGAGAAAAAAAAAAAGCAAATTGTTCGTTCGAAATTAGCTCTATAAAACACTGAAGATTTTGTTTCTCCCCAAATTTTTAGAAATGAAAAATCATAAACATAAAACATTACGATGCAATGAAAAAATCATGGTTCTGTAAAAATTAAAGAAAAGAAGTAAGAACGAAAGTTAAATTTTGAGGTTAACGTTTTTACTACCTTGTGATGAACAATAGATTCATCAAAAGCACAGCCAAGAGGGTGTGTATCACCTACAAAATATTTACATGAAGATTAAAAAAAAAACAAACCCTTGTATAAAGAGAGAAAAAAGGTTCAAAAAATTATACAAACAGTAGGGCCAAAAAGAATAATATACCAACAACAGCCCATTGAGGAAGCCCTCCAAAGCTAGGAAGAAGAAGAACCTTTCCAAGGTCTAAAAGAACCCCACCAAAACACACAGTCAAATATTGTAAAATAAATAATAACATATATATATATATATGTAGTACATGTCATAAATTTTAAACTTTATAAAAAAATTAAAAGTTAAATAACTATTTGTGTGCATGTAATCTTAAAATGTACATTTTGATCCGGTACTTTCAATTTTGGTTCATTTTAACTTTTTTTACTTTTAAAATTTTGTTTTTATCCCTATATTTTTTAAAAATGATCATTCTCGTCCCTTAATTTTATTTTTAATCTCATTTTTCCTATTACAATTTCAACACAACACTACAATACTCAATATATTTCTTAAAATGTAACCATAACTTTATATTAAAGAGTTTTTGTGATGGGTAGAAGTCGTGTTAGAATTTTGAAACTATGAACCAAAATAGTCACTTTTAAGAATAGAGAGACCATGAAAGTACAAGTATTTAAATGAATCAAAACATTATGAAATCAGAGGGACTAGAATGACCAAATATTAAGACAAAAATATAACAAAAATAAAAATAATTAATGAAAATTGTACCATGGATGAGAGCAGTCAAGTGGAGCCAATCTTGATTGGGATAGTCTTTTCTAATGGCTTCAGCAGACTGAAGCAAGTGCTGAATCTGAGGCTCATCCAAATCTGGATCACTGTCATCTACTACTTCGTTCAGCAGCTCACAGCATTCCCATATGCTCATTTCTACCTTCTCCAACTTCCCATATTCTTCTCTCATTCTCTTCACCTGTTTTCCAATAGTCCCACAAAAAAAATTATCTTACTTAAAATTAGTTTTGTTATCAACTAATCGAACTTACAAAATCATAGGTTTGGTTGATGTGGTTCAAGCGGTACAATTCTTCTACGGTTTTTTGCCTTTCACTTTCTGCATCATAATCCCTACAAAAATATTTACACAATCAATAAATTTCAGCCGAAAATTAAGAAAACAAATAAATTAAAAAAAAAATGGGGGGGAGGATCGCGGATAATGAATTAATTTGTTACTTCTTGATTTTCCATTTTAAATTCCTAGCAGCATAGTGTCTAAAATTTTAACTAAAGTTAAATAATAATTAAAAATTACGTCAAGATAATTTAATGGTCTTCTTATTAAAAAAATAGACGAAGATTAAAGAAAACAAATAATAAACAAAATGAAAATCGTATCAAATGAGATTATAATTCATAAGGTAACCTGAATGAATGGCCAAAAGAGTTAATTTCGGGGGCGACAAATGCGGCGTCGTTTGGTGCAGGTTTTGAATTTACAGACCCACCGTCCAATACCAACTTATCACTTTCTAAATTACACAGCTTCTGCTCCTCAACCTCTGATCCTGTAAATTTAATTCATAATATTTAATCTCATTAATCAGTAATTTTCTTAAAGTCCAAGTCTAATCAAATTATAGAAACTAAACAAAATGTTGCCATTAAAAAAAACAAACAAATGTAGTTCTCAAACGTCAAACCCATACTTTATTGTCAATCTTCGACTGAGATTTCGAAAAAAATTAGTAAACAAAGCTTATTTTTTAAATTATATATATATATATATATTTTCTTTTCTTTTTCTTAATTGAAAAGTTGCATGTTAAATTTATCTCAACGAGTGATTAAATTTTCATCAACAAGTATAAAAAAATATCAAGATATGACATTAATATTAATAAATTTTAATTTATTTAAAAATGTTATAAAAAAATTATTTATATAATTTTATCCCTGAAATATTTTCAAAAAGTTTAGGCATCAACGTTTCAAAATATTTCAATAGCTTACCGATCCCATCGTTTTTTTTCTAATTTTATTAAGAAATCTAATTATTTGACAGTTATCGATGTTTATGGTTCTCATTTTCATGAATTTATTTAATCATTTTTGAATAAGCGTTGGGTTCAAGCAAGGAGAACTTCTATCCCGACATACTCTTTTGCAGTTTCTGTTTTAAAATTTTATGCTGATTTACTAAAATTATTTTATTGTTTTCTATCTACTCTCAAAATTGTTTTCATAAATCTATCTTTTGTATTTAAAAATGGGCAAAATTTTCGGAAATATTGTTAAGAATCTGGAAGTTAAAGAGAAAACAGAGACATTGTGGAATTAGACTAACAACCAGTTTCGAAAAGTAATTTTAGGGATTAAAAAATTCGACTAGAATTCCAACAGTATTTCTGCAACTAGCTAGGGTAAAAAATCGAGAAAAATGCTGCTCAAAATAACAAAAACACCAAAAGATTAATCGCAAAGCTATTATCATCAATCAGGACGTTGATCAAATAGAGCGAAATTGTGTACAGAGAACTCAGAAACGATGTTGCGAAGAAGAACACATTCAATTCAATGGAAAATTGAAATAGAGAGATTGAAATCATACCGATTTTCGGCTGCTCGATGAGGATCGTCATTCTGAAAATGGAAGGAATGCCGAGAAAGTGAGAGAAAACGGAAAAGAAAACGAATCGATGAATTAAATCTCTGAGGTTTTGCTGCGGCGAGTTCGGGAAGGAGAAATCGCGCGTTTATATAGTGGCAGAGAGAAGTCCTTGCCGGAAAATTGGAAACCCGCGGAGTCCTGAACTGAAAATACGCAAACCAAAAAAGTTAAAATATATCTTAATTTATAGATTTCCGATAATCTCCCTGTCTTATCTCTTTAACTGAACTAAACTAATCCAAAAGAAACGTTCAAAAAGCATCGTGGTGGCGGGAGATGAATTTTACTGGCCTTCATGCATGTGTTGCCTCACCAGTCACTTACCAATCAAATTCTGCCACGTGGACTCCTAACTCCACCTTTCTTTTCTTTTTCTTTTAACTGAGTTTGTGGATAAATAGTCTCGTTTGTGATATAATTTTAAAATATTTTAAGAATCAAACTCAAATTTGAAATGGATGTAGTTTCCTGTTTTGTAAAAATTATGTTTATTATTTTTTCTAAATTTCTTTATTATGTTTTTCAAAATTATTAGCTAAATTTTAAAATAACAACTTTTTGAAAACTACTTTTTAACACGTTTGGATTATTTAGCTACTATTGGGTTTCAAAATTTGACAGCTTAATTTTTACAAGTTAAAAAAAACTAAAAATAAAATAGTTATGAAATCACGAGTTTAACTAATCAAATTAAAAAGATAATAAAACAAAAACAAGATAATCTATAAAATATTTCTCAACTAAAATTTGAAATATTAGATTCTTTTGAGAGGGTTGAACTTAGTAGAAAATATTGAAACCTTGAAATTTTATTCTTTAGTTTAACTTTGAATTTTTCTATCTCGTACAATTATTTATTACAATAAAACATGTCGATGAATCTTTCAACTTTTCAAAGTTGAAAAAAAAATATTTTTTGTTTGTTTGTAAATTTGGCTGATAATTAAAAGGGGAAAAAATGATATTGATTAATTAAAAAGGAAGGTAAAGTACTTAAATGCAAATTTGGGAAAATTAAATAAATAAATACAGAAGAGGAAAATGAGTCAGCTAAAAGAAGAAGATAAATATTATCTTAATGAACGTTTGACAGCTAATTAATAAAATTGACCCGTTGCCACGACATCTACTCATCGTTTGTTTTTGTTTTTGTTTTTCTTTTTTATTTTGTTCTTAATTTAGAAATCCTTCTCTCGGTTGCCAAATATAATCCCAAAATAACTAACGCTCCATATTAGGATTGATGCACATCTACAGTGATTAATAAGAATGCAAGGTGTCAAAGCGAGGGTTATTTGACCTATATCTCGAACAAGAAATTGCGAGTTCGATCCCTATTGAAGTATACTCGCTTTGACATTTTGTTGATAATTGAAAAATATAAAAATAAGGAATTTAATAAAATAGCTCCCCTTTGCACGCGTTCACGATCACCAGTCTCAATTTAAATAGTTCGATATGTGTTTAGTAATATATTTATAAATTAGTAAGAGTTTCTAGCTAAATGATAATGAGTTAATATAACATTTTATCAATTAATTTATGAATATGTATGAAACAAAGCAACATCAGCCAAACAAATTTGTAAACAAGAAATATAATACAAATTGCTTGTAAAGTAGGTATAATTTATACTGCTCGATGACTATTTCGTTTGTTATTTTATATTATTTGAGAATAAAATTTAAAATCTAGTTTGCCCCATGAGCTTATTTGTTTGGTTATCACTTTTTAAAATACATTCTTCAAAATCTAGACTAATTTTTCAAAACTTAAAAAATGTGTTATCAAATACGGGTAAAACATGTCAAAGAAATTAAGAGAAATCAAATATAATTTATAGAAAAACAAAAAACAAAAAACGACAACTTTCTCTAAAAAGTTGTAGGTTCAAATTTTCTCTCATATTTATGATATTATGGTATTAAAAAAAATAAGAGATATCAACTTTTAATTGTAAACTTGGTAAATTGTATCAATTTTTACCTCCAACTTTCAATTTCATCAACCAAATTTAGAAGTAAGACATTTTTTACCCAAAAAAAAAAATTGAATCTCTATTTCTCGCATATTTATGTTATATTTTGGGCTAAGTTACTATAGTGCCAATATAACTCTTATTCTCAATGTATAGTTCAAGGATCCCTTATATGGGCTTGAGCTTGGAAAATCCCCACCGGTTCACTACTCCGGCCCACATGTTTCGGCCCAACATTTCTACGAGCTAAACCGATGAAAGCTATTTTGTCCTGAAAATAAATGGCATTTGAACAATTTCAGCACGATTTTAAAAATAAATTAAAAATCAACATACTTACATTTTTTGTTATATCTGACAGTAAAACACGAAAGATATTAAGGGAAAAAATCCATTAGATACAGTGTAAAAAATATATAAAAGACATATTTTTAATGAAAAGAAGTGTGAGATAAATTTAGTTCCATGACATAAATTTAATATATATATTTTTAAAAATAGGGCAACATTTTACTTTCTATCGACTTTTCTTTTTTATATTTATCTTACATGTGGATTTTAATTATGTTATTTTTATAAAATTTTAATTTTTTATTATATTTAAAAATATTTATTTATTTTATTATATTTATATAAATGTTTCTATATTTTTCATTTCCGTCCCCTCCGTTATTACAGCTTTTTCCCCAACTTTTTTTTGGCGAAAAAGGCAAATTTTTTAACGGGACGGTGACATTTAGCGGCACCTAAATTCTCACGAACGTACTCCCCGAGAAGAAAAGAAGGAAAAAAACAAAAGATTAGTTTGACTTTCCATGCTTAAATTCCAAAAATTAAGTTTTAATTCGAGTTAATCGACATATATCTCTAACTAATAGAGTGTGACTTCGATCCTCCACTTTTCCTCAAAAAAAAAATATATGATTTCACTTTTAGTCCTGGTTACTAAAATTATTTTTCTTTAATTTAATATTTTAAAATTGATATAGCTAAATTAAAAATAACACCTGGTCTAATAGACCCTTTTATTTTTTAAAGCTAATTGTATGTCAAATTCCCCACCTTACTTTCCAACTTTATTTGGACCTCTTGTTTATCTTTTTGACCTTAAATTGGGGTATGTCATGTTTTTCACTTTGGCTTCTAAAGTTTTTGGTAGATCTTCAAAATCTCAATGATGTTGACTTGTAATGTTACTATCATAGTAGGGATCAATGAGGATTGACTCTTTACCCTTAAGTTTTTCAATAATTAAATCTACCATCAAGAATAAATTTCATCCCGATTTAAAAAAATCTACTAAATTAATGATACTATTTTCTAATTTTATTTCATAAATTAGTGAGCATGTGCGTATGTGATTTAATCAACATAACTTTGGAATTGTCAAAAAGAAAAAAATCAACATAATTTTGGAAGTTAAAAAAAAATCCTTAAATGTCATCACATCATATAAAACCTAGGATACAGGCTAAGGTAATTATATTTCCTAAAAAAAAAAAGGGTAATTATAATACTAATGTTTCTCATTGAAAACAAAAATAGTTAAGTAATTGAAAAACTGATGAATTTTCAAATTTAAAAAACAAATAAATAATGGAGTTGTGGATGATTAGTCCTATCATTGATTACCACACAAATTTTCCTTTGGACCTTATCAATTTAATAAAATTCCCACGTTATATTACCCCTTCCTTTCTTACTTTCATAATCACAATTAGTTTTCACTTCTTAATTTCCTTAAATTATGCAAGATTATAAGTTAATTACTACTCAACCAACAAAATTAATTTAATATTAAACTTTTCATTGTTTTCCCTTTTTCTCTTTTAACATTATTTATGTGTTGGTTCCTTTACGCCAACCCTTTTTAAATGACTTATACTATTAAAAAGTATATATTATAAAAAAATACACTTTTATTATAATGCTAGATATTTTTTTTAGTTCGGCCCACCATCACATTATAATATAAAGATTTAAGTAAAGAACTACCACTATTAAAGAGATCATGTATTCTGTATTCTGCCATGTACATATAAAATATATTGTGAAGATACGTCTGACAATTTCTTGAACAATGGTTTTGTTTTCTTTATAATTTAGAAGCATCAATAAATACGTTTAAAATATCAACCAACCACATTTTCAATGGATACTTTCAAGAATCAAAATGTTTAAATTAATAAAAGTGATGATAATCTCTTACTATTTCGGAATATTGTGAAAATATTCACGAGTTGTCGATAAATATTGCAAATAAGAAAAATATAAATGTAAATTCTAATAATGATATTTCGTTATGTACTTTTTTCGAACTTATAATTCAGTCTATAAATTTTAGTGTGTAACAATTTATCCATCAATTTTCAAATTAGTAACAAATTAATAAATTTATAGTATGTAACAATTTATTCCATCTAATTTGAAGATTGTAATGATTTAGTCTTTATTGTAAATTAAAAAAAAAATTATCAGTATTCTAAATCATTTTAGGATAAAAATCAACATTTAGTTTGATATTGTCTTTTACGATAGAGGCTGGATTGTTACCAATTCTAAAATATATGAACTACATTGTTATATGCTAAAATTTAGATATTAAATTATTATCGATGTGAAACTACTAATATTAAATCATTAATTCAATAATATAGGGAGGGAGTAAATGTATTTTTTAACACAAAAAAAACTATCATGTTTTGTAAGTTAGATTTTGTTTTCTTATTATTATTATTTTTTTTCAAAAGGCCATCAACAGTTGCGAAATATGGAATGGACCAATACCCGTAAAAGACTCCTCCATCCATATTCGGAGAGGACAAACCCAACAAATTGGGACCATTTATCAAACGTCCAATCTAATCATAAAACAAAAAATTGAATTAAAATACGTACCTAAAAAAAAAGTTTGTAAAGAGTGATGGATATTTTTGAAAAATGGTACGAGTTTCATAAAGTACCTCCTTTTTTTTTCCATAGCAGCTAATCGACGATGCATGGTAAAATATCTAATAAATTTGTTACGGATATAATTAGAACATGTCATTTGGTCATTCACTTACAAG